AAGAATTCTCTTATAATATCTTATTATCCAAAACTATAATATAACAGCTCCCACATTCTCAACGAGAACAATCAAGGATGTGAATAATTTTACTTTACAAATACAGTAAAAGGAAAGAAACCCTTAGGAGAAACGCAATTCTGTCAACAAAGGTCAGATATAAAGCAGTTTAGTGTGTTAGAATAACAATATTGTCAAGCTAAGTTCATTATTAAATTTATTTCAACGGAGTAGTTAAGCCCCGGGAGATTGTGTTCATAATGAGTGAGCCGACCTTAAAATTAATTTGTTAAACTGGCTTTGGGGTAGCCTACCGGTAGAGAAAAGTGATTAATACGGAGTGCCTACTGCGGCTGGATCGGGCCGATCGCCCAACTCGATCGCCTGAAACTGAAAACAAACACGTTTGTTTTTGAGGCGATCGGGTCGGACGATCGGGCCATTGGGCCGATCCCATCCGTAGTGGGCACCCCGTATAAGAAGCCCTGATTAGCCTTTGTTACATCCATTCGACTGTCCCTTACCTTGTTAGTTTTGGTAAGTGTTTTACGACGCTTGCAACTACATAATAAGGTCATACGAGCGCGCGGGACACATTTGTGATGCATCGAGGTGAAATCAGGCGCTCGTCAAAATAATGAAATCGCTGAAGCAGGCATTTTCCCGCCAGTTTCTAAATTTTATCGAATTTTAGTGGGGATAGTTTGGCTCAACACCTTTTACGTCCATGTTTAAATAGATTTCCATTCGAATTTTCACTGAAAAAAAACCCCGTTGATTAGAGGCACACAATACGTAAATGTTCAGTTTCCAAGGACTCTCATTACTCTCAAGCTATCGAAGTTACCAAAATTAGGCGCCATTTTCTCGCTGATTTTACCCCTTAAACCAGTCGATCCCCGCCTCATTCAATTGCAAATAGCTCGACTTCTATTCAAGATAGATATTGGTATTTCTTAATTGAAAGCAAGGCAAACGAAAAAGCTTTCAGATGATACCAATAACTCCACATGCCCAAACATTGACGAGCACCTGATTCCACCTCGTCGTGACACACTTAACATTAATTTCAGTTTGGAAGGAATTTTGAATTTTGCCCGTGTGGCAGCGGAAGCCTACTTTTATCGACTTTAGGACCACCAAGGGATTTATAACGTGCGCAACTTGCTCACGTGGACCTCCGAGACTTCTCGCCCTTATCAGAGAAGGCTAGGTGTTAGATCTTATCTACCGTAAGATTAGTGCTGAGGTTGAAAGACTTTTTACCTTGTCAAGGTCCCAGGGTCAAACCCCGCTTTAAAGGAGTACGGGTTATTTGGTAATGCAGCAGACAGCAGGAGGCCTGCCTTCTTCAAATCAGCGTTGAAAATCTGAAAAGACAGGAACTTTTTTTTTCATTCACAGCAGGCTAAAATTTGGGAGAAGACATGACAATAAAAATGAAGTGGCAGGATAGAATAAGAAATGAAGAGCTGTGGGAAAGGACAGGACAAAAGGATATAGAAGTAAAAATAGGACTAAGAAAGTGGCG